GGTAGTAAGAACCAGCAGCATACCTATAGGCTGGGGAACTCTGTTCTCGAAAGCACCATGGCAGAAAGAGATCTTGGAGTCATTAATCGATTCCAAGATGAACATGGGCTGCCAATGCGAGGACAGAGTCAGTAAGGCTAACCACACCTTTTCGTGCATCCACAGAATCTATGAAACTAAAGCTCTTAGCCTGTATTTAAGATCTCTGTGGGCACCTATACACAAGTGCAGAGGCTGCTCCAACATACTGGAATTCCATTGTGTTAGAGCAGACTCGAACAATCAAATCTGTGGGGGTGTGGCAATTGCCATGCTCCTGCAGCCTCATGCATCTTATGCATCAGTGACCCCGCACTTAAAAATGTTGGCAGGGGTATTTGAACTAAAGCTCATCAAATGAGTTTAATCCATCCCAGAACTGCTACCTGTGTAAAAAAAAGCACTACCCTTCCCTCAGGAACATGCCTTGTGTCTTCTTCTACTCGTCCCTCCCTCCAAAGCCACACATCCAGGCTACATAAAATCTTTAGGATTCATTCTGCATAACATGTACTTGCAAAATGAAAGCTATTTCCTCATGTCTAGATTACTCCAACATCTTTTTCTCCTGCTTTGACAACAGTGACCTACCCTAATCATGCATTCAAAGTGTTGCTGCAAAGATCATTTTTTCAGTCTGCCCCTTTGCCCAGAACTCCTCCACTCTCTACAGCCCTCCACTGGCTTCATCTTCTCTTTTACACTCCCTACCAGTCTTCACTTAAGGCTTTTAATGGGCCTATCATTTTTTATCTGCTGACTGGCCCATGATAACAGCCTCTGTCACCCTTTAAGAGCTTCAGACAAGCACCTTAAAGCTTTCTCCTTGCTGCTGCCCACACTTGAAGAGCCCTTATTTCCCTGTTATTCCTCCCCAGATCACTCAGGCTTACCGCAATCTCCTTAATATGCTCCTTTGCCATGATGCCTACAGAAAGCTTGCCAGCAATTCAGCTACTATTGTGACAAGTGGATAATTCTGTTGATTCATTTAGTTTTATTACTTACTTGTACCTCCCTGCCTATCTGTATCCATGTTGTCTTGTCCTAGCTGATAAGATCTAAACACTATAAGACCATGTTTCATGTTCCAGCCCTACTTCTCTGCTACCCTATGAGTGGGGCTCTTCAGGATGCTAACAATACAAACTATAACAACTCTCCTCCTAACTGAAAAGTAGTTGTCCCACTTTGCTATCCCAAAACCTCATCTCCATTTAATGGAATCAAATACAAAAAAACCTGTCAATAATTCTCTTTAGCAAACATTCACAATCAATATTATTAGTATGCTAATATATTGTTATTTTATAATATATGCAATGCCATGACAGTCAGGAACTTACACTAAACTGAAATGTCAACTTGAACTAAGCTATGAAGGGGCCCTCCTAAAAGCCTTTACTGCCCACTACAAAATTGTTAGCAATTATGTTGTCAAGAATAAGATAAATTGATTCAAGGCAGATTTAATGATTCACAGATTTTAAGGTCACAAGAAAATACTAATATCATTTAGTCTGGTTTCCTATGTACACAGGCTATATCAATTTTCCCCTGAAGCTGTACCGAAAGCATCTTTTTTTTTTAAATCTGATTTTGTTTTTAAAAATACACAGAAAAGACACCACCAGCTCTGCCAAACTATTCTACCTCCTTCCTGCTTGGAAACTATTTTATCCCAAAGCCAAAATTTGTCCAACTTCAACTTGAAGCCACGGAGCCTTTTTAAACCTTATCTGCAAGACTGGCAGATTCACTATCAGATCTCTTCTTCTATGCAAATAGCTTAACATTTCTCAAATTTTCCCCATTGATAACCTGAAGAACTTGAGCTTTAAGTCTGACAAGGATTGTTTACTAACCCCTGCATTATTTTTATGCCGGTTCTTTGATCTCTCTCCAGTATTTGCACATCCTTTTTTAAGCATGAACAACAGAACAGGACATGGTATTATAACAGCAGCCTTGCCATCCGGTGTCTGAATGCAAGACCACTTACAGTTGATGTTCCCTCTTCATACCTGCATTATATGTAGAGATATAAAAGGTTAACTGTTTAAATAATAATATATTTATACTGGTAATGGATTACCTGTTAACATTTAGCACAGGGCACAGCCTGGCAGGAAAGGGAAGCAGCACAGTGCCTCAGGAAAAGGCAGGCAGCAGGGCAGTTGAGAAGGAGGGAGGGAGGGAAGAGTGAGGAGGAGGGGAGGGGAAAGGGCAAGGGCCAGGGGGAACTAGTACCCATAGTCCATGAAGTTTAAGAGGAAAACAGCAGGCAGCCTAATGGCTTGTCAGTTAAGCAATTAGATGCTTGTTCACAGGTGCCCAAAAGCCAGCTCCAGAGAGATAACTAGCTACTTAAAATTTAAACCTGTCCCCAACCCACACTGCCTGCTCCCTCCCTCCCACAGTGCCAGTGGACCCCAGCAGACTAGGGAAGACCAATGCCCCCCACGGTGATGGAGGGGGCAGGGGCTGCCCGGGCAGGGTGGGGGGTGGATTTTGGGAACTGGAGCCCTGATTCATGTGGGGAGGCCGGGGGGAAGCAGCTCCAGCCACTGCTTGCACCCCAGGGAGGCATGGGGATCTGTGCAGGGTGGGCTACAGCTGGGGCTGCACAGGGCTATTTTCAGCAGGGGCTGGGCTGGGAGTGGGCACCGGTGGCACTGGGAGGATGCTGTATCCACCCCATATTTCACTGCAGCTCTGCTCCCAATGCCACTGCCACCAGCTGCCTGTTACCTCTCAGCTCCATGTTCTTGGGGAACCCTGGC